AGTTGCAGGAAGAAGGTCACTGAGGGGTAGGTATATTTCTGGAGGTTTAGCTGGTCCCTGGACTTTTCTTCACTCTCTCTGCTTCCCTGCTATTATGAGGTAATCTGATTTGCTCTGCTGTACCTTCTCTTATGATATTTTTGCTCCAGGCTCAAAGCAATGAAAACTGCTAACCATGAACTGAAACACACAAAACTGGGGGCTAAAATAAATCTACCTGCTTTTAAACTCTTTTTCTTGGGTATTTGTCACAGTGACCAAAAAATGGCTAATATCAAGGAGACTTGATATTATGCAATGACCTGGCTTTGATTAAAGCTGACTGAACAAACCAATTGTAACATTGTGATAATTGAAGAAAACTGAAAATAAACAATGTTTTAGATTATATTAAAGAACTGTTGTTAATTTGTTATATATAATCATAAAAATAATTATTTTATAGACAAAAACAGGATATGGTCAAAAAGCATAATGTATAAAAAGACAACATACAAAAAGTATTGGGGAAATATATAAAGTGCTCAAATGCTCAAAAGCTGGCTGATGGGTTTAATGGGGGTAATTATACTCTACTTTTAGTAGAATATATAAAATATTTACATAAAAGAAAAAACTTAAATGTCTTTTCCTCTATATACAAAGCACAGAATATTATGCTATTCTAATCTATTATAATCAATCACAAAAAGTTAGCTGTTATGATGGGCACTATTGACTTATGCTGTATTCCTAGCTACTTGGGAGAGTGACAATGAGAGGACTCTGGTTTGAGGCCATCTCAGGCAGAAAAGCTATGTGAGAGCCTTTGATTGGGAGGATTGTGGTTGGAGGCCCAACAAGTGTGAAGCTTTGATTTCAAATTCTAGTATTAAGATATAATTAAATATTTTTAAAAAGTTAGCTGTTACATTCTTCTTGCTGTTTTTAATATTAATGTTAATACAAGTTAGTGTGGTATAGTGAGAAAAATATGAGCCTTGAAGATCTAATTCTGTAATACTAGGTATGTGATCTTAGGCAAATCTTTCTATATTTTGTGCCTGCACTGTGGCTTGACACTTAAGGCTTGGGCACTGGTCTCTTAGCTATTTTTTGCTCAAAGCTGGTGCTCCACCACTTTTGCCACTTCTCCACTTTTGGCCTTAAGGTGTTTAATTGGACATAATTGTCTTACAGACTTCCCGCATGGGATGGCTTTGAACTGTGATCCACATATTTCAGACTCCTCAGTAGCTAGAATTACAGATGTGAAGAATTGATACCAACAAATTTAACTTTAGTGAATTTGGCAATTTTTTTTTTGTAAAATGTGGAAAGAAAAAAATTTTATGTTGAAAATTTCTTGTACAATGAAATGATATAAAAGTACATTGAAAATTATAAGACATACCAGTATTAATTTAATCCTTGCTCATTAAGAAACTTATAATTCAATCATAGTCAAAATCAAATACATATCACAACTACATAAAAAACCTGAATCACGACAGTGAGAAAATAGTATGATGGGTCAGAGTATTCTGAACAGGATTTTATTTCTACTGAGGGCAACAAAGAAAGAACTCACAGAAAACAAACACTGAAGCTCTTGAGATGGCAAAGCTGTGAAGTATATACATGGAAAAACAGCAGGGCAAGGAAGCTGGGACTCTATACTTGGGAAGAACTGGAATTATAAACAGTTTGGAGTCAGAGCCAGACTCAGTGGTTTCAAGTGTCCTTATAAAGGAGATTTTATCTGGTAGTCAAGGTGGACCCACTTTAAGCTTTTAGTAGGAAAATAAAACAGATATTTTCTAAGCTTTGTCTCACTGAGTTTATGAAGAATCAGTCACATAAACATATAAAAGGTAGAGATGGAGAGGGCTGTTTTTTTTATATGACAAGGAAGATGTAATATGTTACAATTTTGGCATAGGCCACAAATAAATAATTGAGAATACAGGTCAATTAAAGCCCCTCAGTGGATGAATGGATCAATAAAATGGTAATCTATGCTTCATCAGAAAGAATGGCATGCCCCATTCATCAGGAAATGAAAAGACTTGAAAAAATATATTAAGTGAAGTAAGCCAAACCCAGAGAAACAAAGATTGCATGGTTTCCCTCATTTGTACTTATTAGAATGTGCCTATAAATCTATAAATAAACCCAATGGATAATAAAAGACAAAAATTATGCTTGGATATAATAAATCAAACAGGATTCTAGACATTCACACTGTGAGACCAAAGGAGGATATTCTTAGGAGAAGATCACAAGGGCTCAATAGCTATGTACATATGATCATATAAAATGGTACTTATTGAAATCAACTCCAAGAAGTGGAGTTCTATTTTGCTTTTTGCAGTTCTTTTTTTGCTTACTTGTTTTCTTCCCTTTTGTTGCTGTTTTTTATTTCTGTACCTTTTTGTCTTGTAGGTAAGTTTATCTGATTTGGGGAGTGGAAGGGGAAGCACAGAAATGATATAACAAAGGGTGAATTAATTCAGCAGTGATATTAGACACTACGTTGGAAATGAACTATACAATTTGGGGGAGAAGGGGAGAGAGGGTAAAACCTGGGAGAAAATAAGGGAAGAGTGACACTGTTCAAAAAGAAATGTGCACAATACCTGACTTACATAAGTGTAACCCCTCTATACATCATTTTATAATAAAAAACTAAATTAAAAAATTTATCAGTCAGATATTATTCAGAAAATGAGTTTTAAAGTCTGTCTTAGATGAAAAATAATGTTGACAAACACTAGAAAGAGATTTTGCTGGACAATATTTATATAGTAGTGGTTGTGAATAATTAATTGTGCCTCATTAAGTATAAATTTTCATGACTTGTTTTGAAATTCTAATACTAGAAATTGGGTGGCATTGTGTGTTATTGATTAAATTTTCATTTTCTAAAAATAAGCACATGGTATTTTTTATGGTAGGTCCTATGTAAGGGCACTTGAGCATTTTAAAACATCATATTACAAATATTTTTTCTTCTAAAATTCAATTTTTTCTCAAAACTCAAGCATTCTTACCCTCACAGAGATGTTTTTTCTTAGGGAGTTTTTAATCAAAAAGAAATGATGTAACTGGTTTTATGACTCCAAATTTTTACCATAAATATTTGGTGTATCAAACAGAATATAGTTCTACAAACCCAAATATTTCACCATAAATATTTTGTGTGTCAAATAGAATATAACTCTACAAAGCAAAACGCTGGTATAGAAAGATGAGGAAAGCAGGAAATTTATTCTCAAGCTAGAACTGGGGGAAAAAAAGCTCATTGGTTAGAAAATAAATAGCTATCTCTCTTTTTGTTAAAGAGAAAGTCATGTTATAATAATAAACAAATAAAACTCCTAATTGTATGAAAAAACATGTAATGATACAATTACAGTGGGTAGAAAACAGTGTGTGTGACAGTATACTATGGTGGTTCTATGATACTCAGCATTCTGTCCTAAGTGATCATTTAATGTGTAATTTTAGGGCACCCTATCCCATTTGGTTGAAAAGCAGCAATTCTGATTCACTTCCTGGAAAGACTATGTGCCACAAAATCCCACACAGAAAATAAAGAATTTTAAAAACTCTATCTTATTTATTTCACCAAAGTAAGAGGCAAGAGGCAAGCAACTTTATCCTTCTATGGCAATTGTTGCTTATGGGATTGTTTTTACCTACAAGGAAAAGGCAGGCTTAAATTCAATAAAGGCAATAAACTTTGAGATAAACTTAAATTAACACACATTTCCTTTAATTTCTCTATCTGTAAACCCTGCCACTGGTTAACAGAGCAATTTTCTGGAACACCTTTAGTTAAAAATCCATCTGTTCAAAAGTTCTTTCATGGACTTCATCCAGTTTCTAGTTTGCAAACCGAAGGATATTTAGACGACATTCTCCGCAAGCAGCTTTATTAAGAGCATCCATTATATTTTATTGTATAATTATAACAACTCCCTGTTGACTTCTTTGTCGATTCGTAATCCCTAAAGCTTCACTTCAAATTCACTTTCTTTTCTGAGTAATCATCACTTTAATGTGAAGGAAATTGATAAAGGAAGGAAATTGATCAAATGCTACAAACTGGTTTCAAAACAAATCATGTGATTAAAAGCAAGCATTTTCCCAAGATAGCTGTCATACTTTTGAGTGATAACACCCATAAGAGCTGTCAGTCAACAGTCCTCAATCCACATCTAGACATTCAAGTCAGAGATGAACAGAGAGAAACATGTCCCCTTCCTGGAGGAACACAAAGATAAGGTATCATATTACCATAAAGTATCATATGACCAGTGTAATAGAAGGGACAGAATGAAGAGAAGTAGAATTTAACTCAGGGAAAGGACTTCCTCATAGAAGTCAGGAGAGGGTGTGGGAGGAGAGGAAAGGAAATGTTTTATGTAGAAAGAAAAACATGACTGAGACCTAGAGCAGAGACAAGAAACTACAGGAAGATCAAATCTAACGGAGAGAGAAAGAAGGGGCACATGCCTGGGATGGGGGAGATGGGCAGAGTCCCAATCCTGTAGTACTGTTCATCATCCTGAAGACTTAAATCATATTTAAAAATTATGGGAAGCACTTTTAAGCAAAATAGAGACTGAATCACATTTTTGTTGTTAATATCTATCTGGCTGCTGGTGGAAAGAAGTTTCTAGTGGGCATAAGCGGGGTGCAAAAGTATTCTGTTTAACTCAAAAGATAGATGATGGTGAACAAAACTAGGGTGACAGATGTGGGCAAGACGTATAAGTACTCATAAAGGAAGTAGACAGGATGATGGAGGTCAAGTAGAGGTTTGACTTAAGCCTTGAGGTAACTAAGGTTTAGAAGGTAGCAGACTCTCCATTCTTATCTAACTCTATCATTTTATCACTTTATTGTATTGTGGGGGGGGGGAGATCATTTTCAAAAACTTATTCTAATACTAAGACACCTGAAGCCATTACCATCATCTATTCATTAGTGCTTGGGTTCCAGCCAAAACTCACCTGGTTTCCAACTAATAACAGGTGCTCTCCAAGGAGAAAGTCTTTGAGCATATCTTCCATCACTATCATGTGCTAGACAAAAAGAAGACCAGAAGTCAACTGTACTGTGCAAATCATGGTGAATATCAGATTAACTATATAGGTACCTATTATGATAAAAAGATTGATTTTATTTTCTATAAAACAGAGTTAATGTTATGGGTATAAATAAGTTATACAATCAATTTGTTATGTGACAGTTTGGTTAATGATACTGAAAATTTGAATCAATCTGAGCAAGACCAAGCCACAGACCAATTATTTCAGAGTTTTTCTAATTCATCTATTTTATTAAAATTCTGTTGTACTGGCTTATAATTTAACATTTAAATTGATACTTCCTCATGTAACTATATGGAGGCTTTCTAAACAGTGATTTTTATTTTAGACTAACTTGTTTTCAAAGCTATGTATAACTTTAAAATATATATTCTTTACCTTTCCTAGTTTATTTAATTTTGACAAATAGATTAAAAGAACAAGACTAAATTTGTTCACAATAGCTACAGAGGCAAACTACATTGCTCTTTTGTGTCTTGAAAAAGTAGGACACCCATAAGTAGGTTACAAAGGGTCACTGGAGGCAAGGGAAAGAACTACCTCCCAGCACAATTAATATCCTTACTTACTTTCTCTTGGTTTTCTGCACCAAACTAATAACCATCTCCTCAGAACTGAAGATATTAAAGTTCCTATGTCTAAGAAAGACAAATTAATCTTCTGTTATTTCTTATACAATATAGAGATTTTTCTAGTGTGTCATTTACTTTTCTTTTTTAACTTGGCTTTTGACAGCAGAAAATTTTCCTTCTACTTGTCAAAATTTAGCAGTATTTTTTTCAGTTTCTTTCTTATAAGAAAAATAAGATTTGTCTCCCTCCTTTAAGAACAGAAGAGTATTCCTCTGATATTTATCTTGATAGTTGTTTGCTTTTTAAAATTAGATACATTAGGAACTTAAGAGTTTTAACAAGGTTTAAAGTGAAGTGAGCATATCTGCTCATTGTAATTCTGGAACATACTTAAAAATAAAAAGACATTACTAATAATTATTCTGGGTCAACAAGTGTAAACAGGAACTACCTTAAAAGCAGCAAACTGAGATGTGTGGTTGCCCTCTGAAAGGGAGTCCTAGAAAATCCTCTAAAACTGGGTTCTTCAGCAGACCTTCCTTTTAACTAAGTTAAAAAGTCAATTTCAACACAACACTAAATTCTTCCTAAAACAAATGGGCTAATCTACATCACATATGCTTGGAATAAATAGTTGTATAGGCATTTCTATTCTTTACTACTCATCTACCTTCCTACTTTAAACCCCATTACATCTAACCAGATAAATCAATAAACATTTACTAAAGTCACTGACAGTATAATTCTTGTCTTAACCTCTTGGTATTTCAGCATGATGATTTCTTCCCCTTCCTTCCCTTTCTTCTCTGCTTCCCTGTTGTTCCTCTCTCCTTTCCTCCCTTTCTCCCCTTCTCTTCTCTTCCTTTTGTCTCTTTTCTTTTTGCCTTTTGGTTTTGCTTCATTTTGGTTTTTGAGACAGGGTCTCATTAGGTAGCCTAGACTGGTGTATAAATCACTATGTAGCCCAGGCTGGTCTTGAACTCTAAATCCTCTTGCCTCAGCCTTCCAAGCCCTGGACTTACAGGCATAAACCACCATGTCTCACAAAGTTCTTAATGATTCTCTGTATTGTCTGTCTTTCCTGTTCCTTCTTACCTCTCTAACTATTTTTCTCCATAATCTCTGGATAGATCATCTTGTTGTAGCAACCCCTTCTGGTGTTGATTTTCATTTGTTCTACCTCATTACTTTTTTACCTGGCTTTAATATCACAAGATAGGACAAAGCATGTTGTGCCTACCAGCATATAGGCACATGCCTGGGGGTAGGGTTAGAGCTATGTGTGAAGCTGGGTACCAGCACATCTGCACACAAAGAGCTGTATGTACTCCCCAAATCCTCTCATCTAGATAGATGAGAGGTCTCAGCTACTAACTCTACGCTGACCATCAATTTCTCAGAGACTACTCAATTGCTTAGTTCTTTCCTAGTCTCCTAAGTTTACAACATTTAAACTTGGCTCATTAGAGTCTATTTACCTTTCTTCATCTTTCTGTATCTTTTCCCAAAATTAATAGAATCATTTTCTGCCTCCAAACCAAACCCCTGGAATCAGCTATATCTCTATCTACTTTGTTCTTCTCTTATCAAGATTCAGTTAAACTTAAACAAGATTCAGTTCACTATTAAGCCACCTGCCCACCCATCAAAAAACGCAACTATATCTATTCTTTCTCTTCTCTCACCACAGCTTGGATTCAAAGTTTTATCATCTGTGGCCTAGATTTTTACGAGACAACTTCGTGACTATAAATTCAGTCTCTCTCTTAGCCAATGAGTTCTCAGTATTGACCCAGGTATTTTGTTCAAAATCTTGTCACTTCATTTTTCAAAACTCCCAAAATACTTTAGGAAAAAAGGTTACTCCTTACATTCTTGACCTACATTCTGCAGCCTCATCTCCTACCACTTTTCTTCTCCTACACTATATTCCAGTCAAGGGCATAGCTTAGAATAATTTTCACTTCTCTTTAGTTCACTTTCCCAACAGACTGTCCCGAGAGTCTTTGTCTTTCACCTAACATAGAATTCCACACACTCTACCTCCTAAACAACCCTATGATGTGACCTACAGCTCTTTGGCCTTATTAAGAGGCTACTAATTCCCCTTTGCTCAAATGTCTCCTACTCACTGCTCCAAGTGCAATATTCCTTAACAAAATGAAATAATACTCCTCGGCATGAACATTCAAAATCTTATTCATTTTTTTTATTAATGCTCTCAGCATTTATTCAGTAGTGCCAGGATATTTGCTGGACATTCACAATAAACAGAGCTGTTCCCAAGTGATAAGGAAGAAGACATTTTGAATATCAGTTTCAATATGATGTGATACAAGGGCAACAGCACATAGAACGAGATGAGATGCACCAAATCTGCAAAAGAAACTGAAGATTATTGCTCCAGAGATAAAGTGTGACATTAGAAAACAGTAACATGCCACAAATGGAAATTTAATCCAGCCACTGTCACACAAATTAATACAGCTAGAATTTTTTTCATTAGTGGCTAAGTCATAATGCTTTAAGAGGAGAAGGTGCATTTGGAGACAGGTTACAGAAAGTCCCTTAGGCCCTCTGCATAAAGTTCCCAGTCCTCAGTGTCTATGTCATAAACACCATCACAACAGACACTGTGTTTAGAGGCACAAAAGTCCTCCTTCTTATGAATTTCCTACATATCTATATGCTGTGAAGTCTTTTCAGCCTTCATAACTGTGGGGTTTGCCAACTGTCACCAGTAATGGTTTTCTGATTCTTTTTTTTTCCTTTGTTCCTTTCCACTTTGTGGACATAGTATGATTTCTTCAATACTTGGAAATAGTATATTTTCCTTCTAATCATGACTTTTGTTTATCTGATAGCACATTTGTCCTATGATTCATATATAACTTTACTGGATTATTCAAAAACATCATGTTCCTAAAGACAAGTAAAACTCATAGTAACTAGGCATGGAAGGAATAAAAACAAGGTTAGGGTTATGTCTTTTGCTATGCCATAAAGAGTATAGATTATTTTTAACCAAGATTTTTGAGACAGAAGAATTTGCTTAGAAACCTTCCATACATACATTTAATATCTTCAAGCATATAAATTAGGATACTCCTTGAATAACAAACAGAAATGGAGAAGGTCATACATGAAAAGAAATTCTACTTTTGTTTTGCTAACGCCTTAATATATTGAAAACAGTAACCATATTTGTAAAGAAGATGTGATTGTTTATATACAAATTAATGAATATTAGAGAAATATATTCTTAATTATAAAAGAAATAGTATAATTATAAAAGAAAAACTGTAGTAATTTGCAGGAAAAGAAAAGAGGTATGTGGAAAAGGGATTATAAAATGAATTCTTCTTGAACTTCTAAATAATTTAACTAAAGAGCAAGCAAAAGGAGAGTAGTTACATTTTAAATTTACTAGTGTATTCATTTTATTAATCTGAAGTCTAGGCTTATACAGTTTGTGTATGTATGTTAATAAAATCTACAAGCCTAATTATAGTAGCAACTTTGTCAATTTTTAAGTAACTCTGGAAAGAATTTTAAGTTTTATAATGCTTTAATAAAAGATATTTGATATTTCATTTTTAATCCTCTGGTCTGAAATTAGGGTATGATAAATATAATGAAGCATCAGAATCCCTGGGCTCAGAATGAAGTATGATAATGAATGTGGTTGTTTCTCCAAGAACACAGAGCAATGCCTTTACCTGAACATTGTTGTAGAAGAGAACATCCGGCACTTTCATTTTCTCATGGGCATTGAATATTGGTGCACGCACAGCGCCAATCTGCAGAGATCCAGATTCTACCTCACCTGAACATTCCACAATAACAAGGAATTAACCATGGTAAGTCCTACAAATAATATCCACAGAAGCCAAATCTACCTAACATAGAATGCAGAATAGTTTCTGCAACATATACAAACTCCAGGGATTTTAATTTAGCATCTCAAAAAATGAGCTTGGGGCTGGGAACGTGGCTTAGTGGTAGAGTGCTTGCCTACCATGCATGAAGCCCTGGGTTCGATTCCTCAGTGCCACATAAAGAGAAAAAGCCAGAAGTGACATTGTAGCTCAAGTGGTAGAGTGCTAGCCTTGAGCAAAAGCATCTCAGGGACAGTGCCCAGGCCCTGAGTTCAAGCCCCAGAACTGGCAAAAGAAAGAAGCTTGAAGAGGATAATAAAATATCATAGCTCTATACGCAGCCTAAAACATTCCAAAATGCAATAACTTCATTTAAAACAATGTATCTGTCACACATATAGATAGAACTGATAATATTTTTTAAAAAACCTAGAATTCGGTCAAGTCCCATACAGAAACTTCTTCAGTTTTGTAATTTTACATAAAACAGCTAATTTCTATTTTTACTCAGATAAAAATATTTGTGTATAAAATGTAAAAATAGTAAATGAGAAAAATAAAACTATTATACAATAAAAAAGAAACTTCTTCAGAGTCTAAATTATATACATAAGCCAAATATCATCCTTTTGGTCATACACAAATCTCCACAAGAGAATTCCCTAGAGCTCTAGTAAAAAGTGGAGGTGGGCTAGGCATTGGTGGCTCATGTCTATAATCCTAGCTACTCAGGAGGCTGAGCTCTGAGGATAGTGGTTCAAAGCCATCCTAGTCAGGAAAGTCTGTGAGACCCTTATCTCCAATTAACCAGTAAAAAACAGGAAGTAGCTCAAAGTGGTAGAATGCTCCATGAACCTCCCCACCCTCTAAAAAAGAAGTACAGATGAACAAACCCCTCATTTTCAGCAGTGGTCCAGAAGATCTCTATTTTCAAATAAATACCCAGGTTATTATGACACCCAGCTAATTGGGAACTTCTGCTAAATAATTACAAAATTATTCTGTAGTAACTGTTATTGTGTTGTTCCATATTTGTTTTAGAAGTTGAACTAGAATAGATTATAAGATCATTGGAGCAGAAAATTATTAACAAATTTCAGAAGTCAGAATATGCTTCATTTGTACTTTTTTTTTTTTTTTTGGTCGGTCATGGGAGCTTGAACTCTAGGCCTAGGCGCTTTCCCTGAGCTCTTCAGCTCAAAGCTAGCACTCTATCACTTGAGCCACAGTGCCACTTCCGGTTTTCTGGTGGTTAATTGGAGATAAGAGTCTCATGCACTTTTCTGCCCCGGCTAGCTTTGAACCTTGATCCTCAGATCTCAGCCTCCTGAGTAGCTAGGATTATAGGTGTGAGCCACCAATGCCCAGCTTCATCTGTATTCCTATAAGTAACCGAATATCCATGTTGATTGACATTTTCCAAAAATAATATAAGATAAATAGTAGTACATATAATAATATAAGTAAAATTAGTAATATAGTAATATTACAGTAGCATTGTAATATTAGTAACCAAAAAGGATTTTAATGTACAAGAACCCAAAGTACATTTATGCTCTTTTATTCTCTTATTATTTCCAGTAACAAAATTATGAAGAAACTGAAAACATAAATTAAGCAGTTTTCTTAAAATCACCCAACTAGTATAAGTAGAGCTTAAAATAGAATTTAGTGTACTGGACATTCTATTAAGTACAGTGTGTTCAGTCCTCTGACTCCGAATAAAATTCCATCCTGTGGAAATACCCTAGCAAGCAGATACATAATTACAATCCCTTCAACAATTCACCCATCTTTATTTACCTCTAGTTCAAATAAGAAATTCAATTTGTTTCTTCTCTAGCTATTTTTGTGCTAAGCCATTTGGAAAAACTAGAAGAGAAAGCAACATTTGTTTCTGTGGAGAATCACGAACTAAAATTTTGAACTAAAAATAATTATACTGTCTCCTTGTTTAATCACTACTGCCTTCTACAAGCCAGAGCAAAGCAGATCTCAAAAGTAATTCCTCCTTTCAATAGATCCCTGCCATTTCCACGTTATTCGCAAATTCTATAAGCCATGTGTTGTCAAGCTGAGAATCTACTATTTATTTACTACCATTAAGCCTCCAAAGGAGACCAAATCTAAATATATTAAGGGGAAAGAATGGACTGTGGCAGTAAATCAACTAAAATACCTGTATGTCCAGAATACATATAATTTCAGATTCAAATACTGCTTGTTTATGAAAGACATACATTCAGTAGACTTGTAAGTCTTTATGACAATGTAAGTCACTTAACCAATGTTTATTGATAAAATTCCAAGCTAAAAGGGATGTCACTGGCATGTATCTGTAATCTTACCTATTCAAGTGGTTGAGATCAGAGGATAGCCTGCACAGGAAAGACTGTGAAACACTTACCTTCAACTACCAAACTACCAAAAAGCTGAAAGTGGAGCTGTGGCTCAAGAGGTAGAGCATGATCCTTGAGCAAAAAAGCTAAGGGACAGTGTCCAGGCCCTGAGTTCATGCCCGAGGACCACACACATACTCTTTCTCTCTCTCTCTCTCTCTCTCTCTCTCTCTCTCTCTCTCTCTCTCTCTCTCTCACACACACACACACACACACACATACATACACACACACACACACACACACACACGGAAATACACTAATAAATGCTTATGCTAATACTTAAAGAAAGTAGCTAGGTGTCTTGTAAGAAATCTTATGGCATGGGCTGGGAAGGTAGCTAAGTGGTAGAGTGCTTGCCTTGCATGCATGAGGCCCTGGGTTCGATTCCTCACCGCCACATAAGCAGAAACAATCAGAAGTGGCACAATGGCTCCAATGGCAGAGTGTTAGTCTTGAGCTGAAGAGCTGAGGGACAGCGCTCAGGCCCAGAGTTCTGGCCCCATGACCAACAAAAAAAAAAAAAAAAAGAAAGAAATCTTATGGCATGACATTATTTGGGTAATTTTCTCAAGGTCTTCAGCCTTGAGGCTCAAAACCTGATTTTTATCATCACAACCACAGGGAAATCCAGCTTTTAAACATTTATTTTGACTTAAAAAGCCAGAATTGCAAAGTACTACATCACAATGGAAACCATGACTTTCATGTTACAATATACTAATTCCATAATCATTGTACTATTTGGAAGGGGATCAGAATGAAGAGTCAAGTACTATGAGAAGGCTGTTTGGTGGGCAAGCCTCTTAATAAAAAGAATGAATAAAATGAATTTTTTGCCACACAGATAGCTTCAAAGGTCAAGGGGAAAGGTCAAGTGAAAAATCTAATCACTTAGACCCCGACATTACACCTAAAGGGCACTGTTGACTGTGACCTGTCACGGGAAAAGTAAAGTGCAATCTAAATGACAATCTTTCTTTGGATGTTAATAGCTTCAATCAACTAGCACTATGGAGCTACAAGTCCCATGTTGTTCTGTCTCTTTGAGTTGCTGCTGAATGTGTATTTAGATCCAACCATGTATCAGATTTATAATTTTGTCAGTTGTGGGGCCTCAACTCTGGGCCTGGGCATTGTCCCTCAGCTCTTCAGCTCAAGGCTAGTGCCCTACTACACAGCCACAGCAACACTTCTGGCTTTTTCTGCTTACGTAGTGCTGAGGAATTGAACCCAGGGCCTCACGCATGCAAGGCAAGCACTCTACCACTGAGCCACCTTCCCAGCCCCCAGATTTATAATTTTACTGTAAAAAAGTCATGCAATTTCCTTAATATCAAATTGTTTTAGTGAAGCACTAATTATCAAAAAACATCTACTACATTTTGCAGCTACAATATTCCTTTTAGAAAGTTGGTCATACATCTGGTGTTTTGATAAACCAGGTAATTACTATTAAAAATGGAAAAGCTGACATTGTATTATAATTGAAGAATAGGTAAGCCCAAAGGAAACTAGGTAGAACTGGAGTAAGAAGGCATGCCGTATCTGATTATGATTTTAGTCTGTATTGACATAAAAAAGGTTTCCAAGAGATCTACAGGACACTGGTGGTCCTCAAGATAGAGATGTTGTATGAACAGCACATGAACTAGATTCTATATTAGATTCTAGATTCTATAGTAAAATAGATACGGAAAAAAATTTATACAAGTTGATCTACAAAAGGAATTTTTAGAGCCTTTAATAAATTGCTATCAATTGTGACTCTTGTGAGTGGGCAGAACTGTTCTAGGATATACAGAAATAAATACTTAAAAAAATATTTCTTCAACTCAACAAATAAAACAAAATGGACAGAAAATAAAAACATTTCTATTGAAATTAAACTGAAAAATACTATCAAATGTTTTAATAATTGCCAGAAGTACTTACATTTGAAATTTATGGGATCTGGCTCCAGATTATCATCAGTATTTATTTCTATTGCAGTGTCTGCCAGATTTTTCTCCAATGCTGACCTAGCAAGGCTGGGTAAAAACCTGGTGAAAGGAGAGAAAGAGGGAAGATGATAACATTGAATTTGTCTGTTTCTTAAGTATCTTTTAATACATATACAGAATATATATGTGCATATATATATATATATATATATACACACACACACAGAATGTCTTTTAATACACACACTGAATTTTAGTACAATTGAGAATTTCAGCCTAGGTCTATGAAATCCAAAGCATATAAACTTTTAGAATAAACTTACAGAATGTGTGAATTATATTTGTGGAATCTCCTTTAATAACTAAGTAAAGCTCATCTATAATTAGTAATATTCATTTATGTACAACATTTTGCAGAATAAGACTAAAAACAATTTGCTTCCACAGTGAATTTAATATAGCTGATAAATCTTGTTTATTGTATAACTGGCTTGTTAAATTTTCTTTTTTTATTGTGAAAATATTGTACAGAGGGGTTAAAATTACATGGGCAAGATAATGAGTACATTTCTAAGTAGATAAAACAGCAACATTGAAGTCTGATCTAAATTGGCAATTACAAATTTAAATCAGTGGTAATAGATGTGACATTTTTCTTTACTTCTAATAGAAATTATTTAATGAAGGATTATCTAACTTGAGTTTTTCCTTCCATTAAAAAATACTTCTTTATATATTCTATACATATGTTGTTAAAACAACAATTTGGGGAGTGACAGAAGGATTCTGCAACTGCAAACAGACTGTGAGCACCTTGAGCTTAGAACAGGAAATGCTTTCCCACCCCCACAAAGAAAGTAGTACCTATAATTTATGATTCTTTCTACATGAGTACACTCAAATTATCTTTAATCCGTGATTACCTGTGCTACACTACTATAAACTAACCACAATATGCGCCAGCATTCCAAATAAACATACTAAGAACATCTCACTTCTAATTTCAATCTACACAGCTATGAATCTTTAGTGATAATTCTCAGAGGCTTAAATATAAACTCTAATAGTGGAGAAGCTGATGTGAGCCAGAAGGCAAATAGTTGACAGTGTAAAGAACTGTGGGGTAATATTTCCTGTCCCTGTAATATTCAAAGCGGCAGCACCTCTTATCTAATGCCTCATCCTGCTCCTATAATTCTAGGTCTGTAGCTCATCATCTCCGTATCAAGTCAGACTTAATCTGTGTTCACAGTTACTTTTCTTCACAGTTCTTTTGTCTTATTTTGTATTTTCTGAAGCAGAGTTTACTATGTAGCCCAGGCAGGCCTTGAACTCACAAACCTGCCTCATCTTCCTGAGTTCTGGCATATAGGCATGCACTACCACACACAATTCTTACGTTATTGCCTTATTCAAAACCATGTCCTCAACAATCTTGCAGATCCAATCACTGGGATTTTGTCCTCTCTTGAGCCCTTGTCCTGGTACTAAGCCTAACCTTCCTCTCAGTACTCTCCCACAGGCCCTGCAGCTACATCTCCACTTCCTGTCAAAGTACCTGGATGGGCTTAGACTTAGTCGACATTGCCACATGTCCTTGAAATCTACGCTGGCTGTTCATGTATCTTCACACTAACCTATATTCAAATCCTTCTACACTGCCCTCCAAAGTATGTAGCAAACATAGAGGGAGGAGTATTAATAGTAAGACTGAGATGGCTTATATCTGCAAAGCCAAAATCAGGAGCCTGAGGTAAGGGGATTTTGAGTTTGAGCCAACTTGGACTACAAAGCAAGACCTTATTTAAAAAATGGAACTATACAAAAGTACTACAGAGAAAAAGAAAGAATGGCATTGTGCATCTCAGGTAGTCTTAAATTGTGGAAAGTATTAATTTACATTTGTTGCTTTAATTTTTAAATTTACAAACAGTATTGGGATATTTAATATAACTTACAGTCTATGCTATTTATAAACATAATTTGCTAAATTTGCGAGAGAAATAAGTAACAAGGAATCAAATTTAGCTATAAGAAATATTGCCTACTATACCTCTAGTCTTAAAATTCTTTATGCCTGAAGTAAGTCCTGATAACTGAGGGCCAGGTTGAAGTAGCTTTATGTTCAGACCAATGCTTTTTGCAGACCAGTGAACACAGACTATCAATGAAACGTATGAGACTTGAACTCAGTGGGAAAGGGAACAGGGTTACCTGGAAAGGCAGGCTTTTGTAACAGCACTGTGAAGGTTTTCATTAGGATACTGTGACAGCCGGCGAGCAATCCGCAACAGTTGCCGGGTAGAAAGAGATGATGCTAAGGATTGTGCCTGTTAAAAGGCAAAGATAGCCTGTTAAGAATCTTGCTTCAACTTGTTAAGGTCCCTTTAGATGGGTACCATAGCAGAATTCATTACTCCTGAGAGACAAATCCAAATTTAAATACATGTTGTTAATGAATCACAAATAAAAAGAAACAGAAACCAATTTACACTTAAGATATCCTTGAAGATAGTCTTTTAATAACTTAACAAATAAATTAACAAATAAATTCAATTAAAGTATTTAAATTTTATTAAGTACATGTTGTGGAGGAGAAGTTGGATAGGGGAAGGGTGTTCTATCTTTTGAATAATCCTTATGTAAAACTGACTACTCTGTTATAGTTTCTGCTTACAGACAGCTGACTTTTTAACACATTCTGAAAATGCTTCAAGGTTTATGCAAACTAGTGGTTTCTGAAATACAGAAGAAGAGTTGTGGGCAATTTAGGTGCTAACTGGGTAGCAAGCAGCTTGTCACTTGAGTCTGTTATTTGCTATCTGGAATCCTTCCCTACACTTACAGAATAATTTCATCTTGTTTTCTTGGCACTTCTTCAAATTCATAGAGTTGTTAACATAGAGCCCAGGATATGGGGAGTGCTCAGTAAATACAGGCTGACTGGAACTTTAAATTCTCCCAGTGGAGAGCATAATCTAGTGGTTCTAATAGCCACTAGCTTTAAAGTTATTCAAGCTGGGTTCTTATTTGTTAGCTATGTAACCTTGAAACTTTACTTAATCTTTCTAAGCCTCAGTTTCCTCCTCTGTTTCCTTATCTTTGAAATGGCTACAGTAATGACCTGATTTTTGAAGTTGTTCTGAGAATTAAAAAGTTATTCTAACTCTAAAATATGTAGCACAGGTCAGAAAAATATGAGCACTCAAGAAGTGGCAGATTATTAAACATTCAGCCTCTTCACAATCAAGCAGAGGAAAGGGATGATACACTAACACAATTTGAGTGAATCAGATGATTACTGGCTTAATTCCCAACTCAAAGCAACAAAGGAGAGAAGCACTTTTGAAGCTATAGGGCCTGGAATGAGGGGTGGTAGGGGAGGTGCAGTGGGCTAAATTGAAATGTCATAGAGGGTGACAAAGACAGTAAAGTGGCTGTGAGCACTTTGGGAACTGGAGGAGGAGATTATAAAATTAAGAAAAGGTTCAAAATGGATGAGGAGAAAATGCAAAAGACATCTCACACATTTGCTTATCTCAAAGTTTTGCTACAGGTCCTCTCTGAAGGTTCTAAAGAAAAAAAAAAAGAACAGATTTCCCCTTCCCTACAAATTTCACAATTTCATAGACTACTGTTAATAGGCTATTTCTGTCTACTGTTAATAGGATATTTCAGCTACCACATGACTTAAACAGCCCCCTGGTGCTGGATTAGGAACATGACTCTCATCTATCCTTTCTTTGTTGTTGTTGTTTAAAAAAAAACAATTTTAAGTTTTAAAGAACTCAGGCAGGGGCTGGGAAGGTGGCTCAGTGGTAGAGCGCTTGCCTTGCATGTATGAGGCCCTGGGTTCGATTTCTCCGCACCACATAAGCAAAAAGAAAAAAGCCGGAAGTGGCGCTGTGGCTCAAGTGGTACAGAGCTAGCCTTGAGCTGAAGAGCTGAGGGGCAGTGCCCAGGCCCAGAGTCCAGGCCCCACGACCGGACCCCTCCCCCCCAAAAAAAGAACTCAGGCAAACAGTTGGCCCATTCTTGTTTGCAATAAATTTGCATTTGTGACATAGAGACAATATTTAAATATAGGAAACCATAAATTATCTTTCAAAATAGCATATAATTTAATACTAAAATAAGTGGACAGATTAACATTTGCTACAGTGGCTTAAAATGTTCAACTGAAAAAAAAACAAAAAAATAAAATAAAATGTTCAACTGGACAGAAGAACATTATAAAGCATGGCATGAAAGCAAAGAGATGAAGTCCATAAAGAATGCAGGGGCATGAGCCCAGCTTCAGTACATAGTCCTGCTGGCAGGTTTGTTCTCAACCAACCCAGACCTGAGAATGATGGTTTGAGGAGTTTGGCTTCTTCCTAAGGGTAATAATGCATTGCTGTGTGCAAAGCAGTAATATAGTTTCAAATCAGATTATTATTGGCTTCATTTCTAACTTAAGTAAGTAGAAGTATGTACATTAGGTGAAGTGCAAAGAACTAAAGCAGAAAATAGAAGGCTACTTCATTCATCTGCCTAGAAAAAGATAAAGTCCTATTGTAAGAGTATGGCCATAAGAATAGAGAGGAAAGAGGCAAAAAAAAAAAAAAAAAGACATAGAACTTGATGACTGACTAGGTGAAAACAAAGGAGGAACTGAGGGTAAGAACCAGGTTGATGATTGAAAGTACCAGAGGTTAGGGACAACTGAATTTCCCATCTTTAATATCTAGGACCATCAGAAATGTTCATTTTACTCATGAAGAATATTTGATAAGTGACGTCAAACAGAAGACTCTTTATAACAAGAGTTTTGATCAGCCCTCAGGTAACCTTCTAGAACACAATGTTGCAAGCATAATCCTGAATTCAAGCTTCATATTTGATCCTAGTGATCAGTGAGAAAATTTCTTATTTGAACATAGGCTCTTTTACTTGATGACACCAAAACGATCTACAGTAATAAAAAAAATTCAGACCTCAAGATGACCCAATTAAGCATTTAAATTAAGGTTTTAGTTATCTCTGCTCCGATATTATCAATTAAAAATTTGTATAACTTAATTAAAAAGTTCCCAATGTACTTACCATTTATAATAATCACTAGGCAGGTGCTCTGCCATTTGAGCATACCCTTGGCCCTTTCTGCTTTAATTTATTTTCAAGTAAGATTTCAATTTTGTCTGGGGCCAGCCTCAGACCATAATCTTCCTACCTCTACCTTCCTAGAGGCTGGGATTAGAGGCATGGGGCAGCACACCCAACTTGCTTTTTGAAACAGGGTTTCTCTAACTTTTTTTTTTGGTCCAGGATGACCTTGGACTATCTTCCCATCTCTGCTTCTTTCACAGCTAGAATTAGAGGCATGTGCCATCATGTTTAGCTATATTATTGAACCTCTCACTGAAATTCTATCTTGCAGAAAAGAGGCTGAAAATGTAAAGCACATTTCCTCAGTTACTATGGCTATGCAATTTAAAACCATACCTCAAAGGAATTATTATCTTAACATGAATATTAGTATTTTAGCTTAAAAGATCTCATCAGAAATTATCAAAACTAATATTTGTTATAAAAAATGTAGCACTCTCAGGAGAGAAAACTCTAGGAATGATCTGTTGATACATTGGTAATTCATCAGTGTATTCATTCATTTCTCAAATATCTTCTAGGTGGAGTCTATATACTAACTGGAGAGATAAACTGTAATAAAGCTATAATAGGTAATATCAGAAGTACAGGTATCATGAAAGCAGTTACTTTTCACTATGAAGGCTGAGAGGGACATCACAGAACAGGGGCTCTGTGAGCCAAGTAAAGGAAAAAGCACACATTCCAGGCATTATCCAAAGCAGAAACATCTCAGTACATGCTTAAGTTACAAAGTAGCAAGACTCCAAGTTTGGGCAGAACACCCTTGCTCATATCCTCAACTGGAAAAACAGCAGAGTCAAATGAACTGGCAGGCCCACTTAGAGGCTATCTTTAGCCTTTGGGCAGAGAGAAGAAATCCCTAATAGTTTTCAGAAGTCACTCCAAGGATAATATATATGACTTATATGCTCCTGTATTTAGCAGTATCTGTTGAATACCAGCTGTGTTGTAGGCAAAGGTCTTGATACTTGATACACAGGGAACACAACAAATAAAAAGTCCTGCACCATGAACATAAAACCCGTGAGGGCACCAAAACCACAAAAAGTAACTAAAAACGGGCTATTTGACAGGTGCTAGTGGCTCATACCTATAATCCTAGTCACTAACGAGGCTGAGATCTGAAGATCAAGGTTTGAAGCCAGATCAGGCAGAATAGACTTATCTCCAATTAAGCACTAAAAAGTCAGAAGTGGAGCTGTGGCTCAAGTTGGTAGAGTGCTGGCCTTGAGCAAAAACATGCCCTAAGCTCTGAGTTCAAGCTCCAGGACTGGCATGTGATTTGTTTACATGTGTATATGTATGTAGGCACGCACGCATGTGCACACACTCATACATACACACAAACACACACCACACATACAAAACAGGCTTATTATGTAAAAGGGTACCAGGGGTGGTGATGTAGTGGGGAGGTAATTCCACACTAAAATAGACTGCCTCAGAAAAGCCTTACCAGAAAGGTGACATCTGAGTAAATCTGAGAGGGGCAAAAAGGAACCTGCAGCTATCTCTGGGCAGCATCTAGACAGAGGAAATGCCACTTGGCATTTCCTTGGCCACTTGGTGTGTTCAAGGAATAGACAAGAAAACCACACAACTGAAAAGAACAAGCAATAGGGAAAGGTGAGGTGAGGTCCCAAGAGTACTTAACAGGAGACCTGTGAGAGATCTGACATTATTCCCCCTCCCCTCCCCACACACACAGCCACATCATAATCTTCAGAATCTATGAGTGTTACTTTCTACAGCAAGGTTGTCTCTACAGATAAAATTAAGATACAGATTTTGAAATAATGGAATCATCCTAGATTACTGAGTTAGCATTAAATGAAATCCTATACAGGACTGTAAGAGGAAGGCAGAAGGAGACTTGAAACCAATCACAGAGGAAGAAGGTGATGGAAGATAGAGGAAGTTTTGGCATAAAGAGGCCACAAGTCCAGGCATGCTGGGTGATAACACTGAAAACATCCGGGGGCCTCCTCTGCAGCCTTCCAGGGAATTCAGTTTGGCTGATGCTCTGATTTTGGCTCAGTGATAATGACATTAAACTTCATTGTCCAAACAGAGTAATTTCTGTCTTCTTTAACTACCAATTTATGGCAATGTTAAAATAGCCACAAGAAACTAAGTGAAGGCTATATGATAAATGAACTAGTGGTAAAAAGGGCAGTGAAAAGTAAATAACAATATCCCAGGAGAAAGATTATGCAATCTGTTCCTAAGACAAGTATTGACAGTAGATAAGAGAACAAATGTGATCTCAAGATGCTATATGGGAAAAATTTTCTTTCAGATTAAGTGAAGAAAGCAGAAAAACAAAGAATCAAAAATAATGTCAAGCTTTCTAATTTAGGTAATTTGGTAGAGAGGTTGCTAACAAGGTCAGGAAATTAAATCAGAAAACAGAATGGATTTAAAGGGAAAAGTTGCCTTATTTGTACATGGAGAATTTATAGTGATTTCAAATTACTCAGTTGTAAAATGAAGCTGACATTTATTAGGCAGCTACTAAGAAAGGGATTCTTTACATACATCTTTATGTTTGATCACTGCAAGCTACTGACAGAGGTAGATGGTAATGTTCCTATTTTGTAATTTACAACAGAGATTCAGAGTTAAAAACAGCCTTTTATCTTTCTACTCTGACATCTTTGGATGGAAACACAAGGCATAAAGAATAAAGGGAAGTTAGAAGTTAGAAGCTGAAGATAAAGGCACAAGCATTAACTTAGAGATGAGACTTCAAACAGTAAGAATATATAACTCTTCTTAGTGAAGGAGAGAGAGGGAGCAGAGCAGAACCTTCAGGAGCCCCAAGTATTTCTCGAAGCTAAAAGTGTTCTCTTCGACATGAACCAGGAGGACCTGGGAGAATGTTCAGATCACTGAAATCAGAGTTAAGAGTTAAGCATATGCATAGGATAAAGCATAGCACTAAGCATAAAAAATATCAGCTAAAAAATAGCTTTCAAAGCTGCAGCATGTCAATAATAGAAAATCCTGTGGGAAAATCCAGACTTACCGTTGGATCCTGGGTCTCTCTGAGTTTGTGTGTAAAAGATAACAATTTATTCAGTGCTTCCTGAGGTATATTTGGGACCTATTTTATGAGAGAATTGAGGAAAAACAGGAAGAATAAATTGGGAAATCCCATCAGTAAACCAGAAATGAAGACTACATAACAAATGATATTAGAATTAAATGTATATAAAGACTTCTGCTACTGATTACATATTTAATGTATGAATAAAGTTACTAAGCCAGGGCTGGGAATGTGGTTTAGTGATAGAGTGCTTGCCTCACATGCATGAAGCCATGGGTTCGATTCCTCAGTACCACATATACAGTAAAAGCTGGAAGTGATGCTGTGGCTCAAGTGGTAGAGTGCTAGCCTTGAGCAAAAGAGGCTCAGGGACAGTGCCCAGGCCCAGAGTTCATGCCCCAGGACTGGAAAAAAAAAGTTGCTAAGCCAATTTATCAAGACACACTTAAGCCTCCACTTTGCATTAATAACTGAGACAAGCAAATGTAGCAGTAAAGTGCTGCCTTGAGCACAAAAGCTCAGGGACAGTGCCCAGGCCCTGAGTTCAAGCACCAGGACCAGTGCACACACACAAAAATAAATATAGAAAATTTAAAAACTAGGCAAATAAAACCAAGACAGTTTTCCACATATAATTTAATCATCCACAGAAAACTTAAACTACTCTCTAACTGAATTTTTTTAATGGCATATAGTGTGGAAAGGTTATAATTTCCTGTTTTGTTGGCTTCAGAGCACTTCTTTAAGCTCTTATTTAGGCATTTCCTTACTGAAATCAAATTCCTTTAGTAGAAAATTTATATATGTTTACTAAGTGATATATGCTACTCTAGTAGCATATGGATGTTCAAAATGACTATTTTTCTCAAAGACTTAAAATACATACTTGAGAGCCATGATCAACCTATCAATGAACTCTGACAAAATTTGTCCAAATAATGCACATTGATTTTAACTCTAGCAAACCTTAATGTGATTAAGTATTAATTAAACTGTATGTAAATCTTTTGCAAGTAACAAATTCTTAAATTTTAATTTAAAAGACCAGAGAGAAATGATTAAATAAGAGCTGGCATAATATAACCATTTCAAAAGACTATTTACTGCTCAAGATTTATTTGGTCATTTAAATAGTTGTTAGATTATCCTTGTTTTCAGAAGAAGAAACCATAGCTAAAGTATTTACCCTAGACCTAGAAGCTAAGATTTGGGGAATTTTGATGTTTAGAGACCAGCTATACAACACTGAAGCCAATGCCCTTGTATATAACCATACAACAAAACCTGAGAACAATCAGATCATCTTCTATTTCAAAAAGAATGAATGTATTTATGTAAAAAATTAATTACTAGTGATCTAGAACAGCTCTGTACAATAGAACTCTATGACAATGGAAAGGTAGCCAAAAAACCTTATGGGGATAGCTATTGAATGTGACTAAGAAACTGAGTGTTTTTTCTTTATTAATTGAATGTGGCTAGTAGTATTACAACAAATAGTGTAGTGGTAGAATTTCAAAAGTGCTAAACACATGTTTGGTTAAAGAAGATGCTGAAATTAATAGAAACACACACACACACACACACACACACACACACACACACACGCACGCACGCATACACACACACTTCCCAGAAACCCTAGAAGCTATCAGATGACTGGTCAGGTGAATGTAAGATTTATTGAGTCGGGACTGTGAAAATTCACTATTTTCTATGAAAATCTAAGGAACTAAAATACATTTGGTCACTCTTTGCAATAGGAACTTAAAAACAGTCATTTTTGACTGAGTATAAAAGGAATTATAAGACTGCATCGACAAGAGGGTAGAGGAGAGGCGACCTAGAGCTGTGGTGTTCAAAGTCTAAAGACTAGTAGAATGTACATTACCTGGAAACTAATCAGAATGCAAATTGTCATACACCATCTACTGACAAAACATCTATGGAAAAGCTGAGATCTGTTTTAATCTCTTTTTCTGATTTTGAAAAGTATTAAAGTTTTAAAACCATTGACCTATATCCCATATGAAGAAAATACCAAACTCTACACCAACATGTATTAGGGTACCTTAGTGAAAGAACAGCTATATACACTAGACTAGAGTTGGCCTCATTCTTACCATCTCCTTCACCACTTGGATTTCTTCACTTTTGACAAGTGGCTTCATATAATGGAAAAAGAACATGGTTAAAAATTCTGGTCCCAGCCACTGCTGTGTTGTGCTGCCAATAACAGGGGGCTCTGCCAACGCGATGATTCTGAAGGAAGGATGGATAGGAAAAATGGATCTAAAAGGAGAAAGAAAGAAAACACAAACTTTTCACAGTAGAAATCAGGTCATGGTAGCTGAAGCTAGGTAATGATAACATCATTCCATTAATAAATGCAAAAATAATTATCCAAAAAATGAGATTTCAAGAAAAAGTCTAGTATTCTAAGATCCTAAGAGTAAGAGAAATAAATACTTGCTACTAATAATTATTGTACATTATCTATTTATGAAACTCTAGCCTTTACCTAAATTACCATTTTTGATGTGTTACTACATCTGATGTGTTACTAGAGTACCTTAAACTACATGAAATTCCATCTAGTTCATATTTGTTACATAGATCTTTTTTACTTATTTACTTTAAATCTCCTTCTTCCAAGGAGCCCAGTCTATATCAGCCACAGAAAGACCTCCTAAGTAGCTGGAATTACAGGTATGAGTTACCACACCCAGTTGAAAGTTATGACTTTTAAAATGATCTATTTAAAAATCTCTGCTAGGAAATCTGAGGAAGCATGAAGTTACTCTAGGACATACAAGAGAAAAAGATGACCTGACATGGTTAGTGAAGTAACTTGAGTTGTTTTTGGATGAATGACTAAAAATTCCTTGTTGTGATCTAATCATAGGATTGATGTTGCCAGTTTTTATCAATTCTGCTAAAAAAAACCCAGCAGAAATATGTTTTGGCAAGGAAATATAGCTCTTGCTAAGAGGAAAAAGAGATAAAACTTAAACACTTGCCTAGATTTTCAGAAAACAAAAATACAGATATGTAATTGGCATCTCATCATTCAATATTACATTAGAACTTCAGTTAGCTGATTAGATAGCTATAATACCAGGAGGTAGAACATGTATGAAAAGAATCACATGAGTACTTTCAGGAGTTCAGATTTTTTTTAAATGGCAGGTCCACTAATTTCTGGTTTTATAATCTGTAACTTCAAAGGTCACATTTTAATTTATAAGTCAGGGAAAGCAATTTTAAAAATCACAATTTGCAGTATCTCAATGAATCTGTAAGGGCTCAATTTTCTAGGTTTAAATAGAAAATGTAGCCAAGTGCTGGTGACTCATACCTGTAATCCTAGCTAGTAGGAGTCTAAGATCTGAGGTTTGTGGTTCAGTTCCAGCCTGGGCAGCAAAGTACACAAGACTCTTATCTCCAATTAACCACCAAAAAGTTCAAAGTGCAGCTGTACTCAAGTGGTAGAGCAGCTAGCCCTGAGAACAAAAGCTCAGGGACAGTAGTACCCAGGCCATGAGTTCAAGCTCCAGGATTGACACCGGACAAAAAAATTAAGTAACAAGAAATGTACTCTTTGCCTTACTCATGTAACTGTAACCCCTCTGTACAGCATCTTTACAATAAAATAAAAAATTAAAAGTAAATAAAAAGAAGATGTAGTTATATTCCTATAGGGCCTGCGGAATGACTTGTCCCAAAAAGTTGTTCTGGAAAAACAGGGAAGGATAATAACTTGTATAGTTCCTAAAAATCCAGGACAGAATGGTCCCTTAGGACTGCTAGTGATTGAATAGTCATAGACCAGAAACTGGAGATGGGAAATTCTAAACTCAGAACATTAAAGAGGCAGGTTATTCCATTTTCCACTTCAGCTAAGTAGTTTGTTATATACAGATGACTCTACCTCTGCCTCAGGCGTAGCCACAAATGTTCAACCTGATCCTTCTGATACCTAGTTGGGATAAAGGTGGGAGACAGAGTCTGGTTTGGGTGCACAAAATTAAAATTGCAGATTAGTTTTTCACTTAAGATGGTTTGATGAGAAAAATCAGAGACTAAACAAAGTCAACAGCTAATTAGCTAGACAAAAGGAGTCCAATTTATATGGCTAAACCAAGAAAGAAGGAAGGCCATGTAATTGTAACCCCTCTGTACAGTATGTTCACAAATAAAATTAAATTAAATTTAAAAAAAAAAGAAAGAAGAAAGGAAGCTGGTCCGGTGGCTCACACTTGTAACCCCAGCTACTCAGGAGACTGAGATCTGAGGATCAAGGTTCAAAGCCAGCCCAGGCAGGAAAGACTGAGATTCTTATCTCCAATAAACCACTCAGAAAACCGGAAGTGTGGCTCAAGTGGTAGAGCACTAGCCTTGAGCTGAAGAGCTCAGGGACAGCGCCTAGGCCCAGAGTTCAGGCCCAACGACCGACAAAAAAAAAAAAAAAGAAAGAAAGAAAGAAGGAAGGAGTCAAAGCAGTGCTATAAAGTCATAACTAGAAGAATAACTAAAATAGGAGCTAGCTAGGTGGTTTGAATTTAAATAAAGGGACATATATTGTCAAGGGCTTTTTAGCATGGGGTCTTACAAATCTGAAGAGAGAAGTTTCTTAGACAGTTGATTCAGTGGATAGAGAAAAGTGTAGGCTGACAAAAACAGCTATCAAACTACTGAAAAACAGGATGGGGAGGACATTCATTCTCGGTTCCCCCAGGTTCTCCCTGAAGGCTTCCTTATAAACAAATAGGTTATAGGGAAAGTCATTTCCTGGTGCTATGTTCTCTAAGTCTGAAAGTTAGCAGAGGATGGGCCCTGTACTTTAGGATGATTAGACAAACGGGTGGATAATTCCAAGGCTACAGAAGTATTACCTGATTAAAAACTGGGGAAAAAAGAATGGTATGGTAGCTCATACCTGTAATCCCAGCACTCAAGAGGCTGAGACAGGGGAATCATAAGTTTTAGACAAGCGTGGGCTACATAAAAAGACCCTGTCTTCAAAACAAAGGAAAGGAAAGAAACATTGTGAAATTTAAATGAAGGGTTAATTTTGTTGGAATATACAATGTCAACAACAAAACAACAAATGAAATAAAAGATATGGCTTACCTTCAAAGAAATTGGCATTATTTCCTAAACACTAAAGGTTTTAAAAGCAAAACAAAAAAGGATTGTGATTTTTTTTATTGTGAAAATACCTTACAGAGGGGTTACAATTACATGAGCAAGGTAATGAGTACATTTCTTATCAATCATTGTTGCATTCTCCTTTGTTTCCCCTTACCATCCCTTCCCATCTCTCCCCACCAGAACTCACCCCCCGCTGCCCCCTCCCAAGTGCCAAAGTTGTAAAGTTTGTTTTTTGACATAACGTCTTGTACATCTCATTGTTGCAATGGGTCCACCTGTATCCCTATTTAAACAATTTGTTTTTTCCTTTCCCTTCCCCAAATTGTACCAACATCAAATACAGTGAAAACAGGGGTATACTGTGGGGGAGGGACATACAAAGCATCAAGAAATCATCTTATAAATATGTTAGAAACAACAGCAACAAAGAAAAACCATTTGAGTCCTTATCTTGGGGTACATTTCGCCTAACATCAACTTATCTGACCATTTCTGCTTGTCTCAGACATATGGGACCTATGTTTCTTTGGGTCTGGCTTACTTCACTTAATATAATTTTTTCCAAGTCTTTCCATTTCCTAACAAATGGGGCAATGTCATTCTTTCTGATGGAGGCATAGAATTCCATTGTATATATATCACATTTTCTTGATCCATTCATCTACTGAGGGGCATCTGGGTAGATCCTTATGTATCACCCTACATGAGAATCAACTGCAAATGGATCAAAGACCTTGGAGTCAAAGCAGACACTCTGAAAACATTACAGGAAGGAATAGGAGAAACCCTTAGGTCTCCTTGGTACAGGCCGAAATTTTCTTAATAGAGATCCAAAAACACAACAAATCAAAGAAAGGTTGGACAAATCCCCCAACAACAAATCATCAAAGAAACAACTGCCCAATAAATAAGTGGGCTAAAGACTTAAAGAGAAACTTCTCTGAAGAAAGAAGGATGGCCAATAGACACATGAAGAAATGCTCAACCTCCCTAGCCATAAAAGAAATGCAAATCAAAACAACATTGAGATACCACCTCACCCCAGTTAGAATGGCTATAACCAAGAACTCTAACAACAACAGATGCTGGAGGGGATGTGGACAAAAGGGAACCCTACTGCATTGTTGGTGAGAGTGTAAACTTGTTCAACCACTTTGGAAAGCAGTATGGAGGTTCCTCAAAAGACTCCACATATATGCTGTCTTCAAACATGGCTAAGAGAAAAAGCAAAAGGTTCTCTAGAATCTAATCTATTAAGAATTGTGTTCCAAAGTGCAATTATAGGCCATCATTTGTCCTGCAAGTAAGTTTTCTTTTTCTTATTAAAGGAAGCAGCTCTATTTGATCCTTATTTCCTGTGAGAAATTCAGGCACTGTAAGTATTTGTGGCCTTCACACTATTTCAGGTCTCCACATCAATGCATTCTTGGTATCTCACAACAATCTAAGTTTTTAATATTTCTAAGTGTGTTCTAAGTATTTGACCCACCTGCACAGTATTGAGGAAGAATTATTTAACAATGAAGGTAGCAAGAGTCAACCATCATTGCTTTGAAAGTGGGTTTCATACCAAGAAATTGAAAACACTGATAGCACACAACCAGCAGATGTTAATGATGGGACCCTATGCCATCAGACTTGTTATGAAAAGGCATTGAACTATCCCTAATTAGTAGGTTTAAACAAGGTAATATTGTTAGTCCAGAATTCTACCTATACCTGTAATAACAGAAATATATTTACCTGAATTTTCTAAACTTTATCCCAGATTTACTCATTGAAAAACATGTATTATATTGTCTCCTATGCACTATGTACTATGACCTTAGAAACAAAGAGATGAAGCACAGAAGCAAGTCAGAGTCCTGGTGACATCCAAGCACCAGGTTCTACTCTTCCTCGGGCCTAATTTTATCCTTTTACCATGAAGTACCAAAAATTTCCTGTTGAAATATCTTGAAATTTTTTGCTACTTATAACAAATGAAATCCTGCCAAGAAAAGGTCAGATAAGATGGTGTTAGGCAAAATGAACCCCAAGATAAGGACACAAGTGTTTTTTTTCTTTCTTGCTATTTATTGTTTCTAACATATTTATAAGGTAATCACCTTGTTGCTTTGTATGTCCCTCCCCCAAGG